AGGCTTCTGTTTGTTTGCAACAGTGTCAAACCAGCTACCTACGTAAAATAGAAAATGTTATCTTTGCGTGGAGGTCGTATTTATCAATGCAATCTGAAACCTCTGTTTAATTTTTCCAGTTCTTTTGGAACTGTTCATTTTGTTCAGGGACACCCAAACAGCTGTGACAGCTGATGGACGGAGGAGGAGCCTCTCCTGTTCAACACAATGCCCATCATCCCAGCTTGCTCAGAATTATAGATAGTCCTCAACTTATGACAACTGGGACCAGACTTTCCACTGGCCATTAAATATGTCATGTCTGATTTTATGACCTTCTTTGTCACAATTGTTAAGCGAATCACTTGCAGTTCTTAAGTGAATCACACTTTGTCTTTATTTGTCAGAAGCTGGCTGGGAAAGTTGCAAAGGGGACACATGAAACCAGGACACTGCAATCCATCATAGGTTGGTTGCCAAGCCCCTGAATTTTGACCACATGACCATGGCAATGCTGTGATAATCATAAGTTCAAGGACTGGTCATAAATCACTTCTTTCAGTGCCGTTTTAACTGCAAGCAATGGTTAAAAGAATGTCTATATGTCGAGGAATACCTATATGAAGCTATAGACCAGGGGTGGGGAACCTTGGCTCTTTTATGACTTTGTGGACTTCAACTCCCAGAATTCCTGAGCCAGCTATGCTGGCTGAGGAATTCTGGGAGTTGAAGTCCACAAAGTCATTAAAAGAGCAAGGTTCCCACCCCTGCTCTAGATTTTTAAATCAAGAAAAGCTGAGAGAAACAGTTCTTCTAAACAAAGGGGTGTCCAACCTTGGCAACTTTTAAGACTTGTGGACTTCAACTCCCAGAATGGCTCATTAGGGAATTCTGGGAGTTGTAGTCCAGTCTTAAAGTTGCCAAGGTTGAAAACCTCTGTCGTAAATCTGAACCATTACACTGATTTGTGTTTTCCTGGCTTCTAATTCAGTGTGGACCACTCTTTAGTAAGCAAATTTAGGACTATTCATTTTTACACAGGCATACATTTCCTTTAAAGCAAGTACCACGATCGTCCTGATATTTAGAGTGGCACAATCTATATCTAACCATAGATTTTTTTTGTTAATAGGGTCTTGGACAATAGTTCAAGAGTTTTGTGTTTTTAAAGATCGGCACCATTAACCTTGGCACAGCAGTTCATTGAGTTTAATTAGCAAGCTAATGAAACTGGTCTCCAGCACAAGAGGATAAATGAGGAAAAAGGCTTTTGGAAAAGTGTTTGGGATACAATTGATTGCTTTTTAAGAAAGCAAGGTGAACTTTTGCAATTTTCTACCAGAAACTGCTGTTCCTACAAGGCAGCTTTCTGTTCACAACAAGGGGGAAATGACCTGTTTCTGAAGAGTTGAAATACGGGATAATTTGCGAACAAAACCATACAGAAGAACCTGGTCATCACCAAGTCTCTGTATACGCAAACAGGTAAGCAAAATACCCAACCATATTTTGACTTTTTTTTAGAGTACCATTGGCTGGTCTTTCAGGAAGAGGCCTGAGGGCTCACCTTGGCATTTTTAAAACAAAAAACAAAAAATCCCTGATAGTCTGCTTCTTTTTCATTGCTAGTTACTTATTCAGGTTATTAGTATTACTGGCTATCTATATGCAATAGAAAAGCATGCACATCGACACAGAACTGAAGGCATCATGCATATACAAATACAAGGCTTCAACACTTTAGTTACAGCTTTCCAGCTAAGCATTTCTAGGCAGCCAGACGAATTTAAGCTTCATTAAAACTACCTTTAAAAAGACAGCCAGGGTTAACTGTTTACCTATCTCTAGCGAGAGCCTCACTATTCCCATCCTTCTTGTTTAAATTTTCAGAATTACATTTTTAGAAAGCCTAACCAGCAAGGTGCTGCATTATTTCTAAAAGGCAATTTTTAATTGCATTCCAGCGTGCCTATAAATATAACTATGGTTCCACATAAATACATTGGTTTTGCTTTAGAAAGCAATAGGAAAGAGAAATAAGCAGGGATTTTTTTTTTTTTGCTCAAGCAAGCAGGAGCAGAAGCCGATAAAAAAAATATATATTTTTAAAATAAAAATCACACAGGAGAGAGATGACCTAAAAATAGCTCCTTCATATAAATCATGTTTCCAAAACAGGGAGCAGTTGGTGACTATAGGCATGCAGAATTTTGATACTGCAAGCACACAGGCACACATCTGATATTGTTGCTCCAGCCTATCCCGCTCTTTCCAGAAATCTCTAGATGGTACCGCTGGGCTTTTCACACCAGCAGAATTTCTCGGAAAGACCCACAGCTCAGTTCAAGCAATGGCAGGATGTTTGGACCCACTAGCACACACAGCAAACTCTTTTTTTTTTTTTTGGTACATTGAAGCTGCATTAAAATGGGGGGGGGGAGAGAGAGAGAGGACGGATAGAAAAGGAAAATGGAGCGAGCTTTGTTTACAGCACCGACCGGCGAGGAGGCAGTGACAGTGAATGTATAATGGGTACCCTGAACAAAGAAAACCCAGCGAAGCAGCCACTTCGTCGGCTTTAACCCCTTGCCAGGATTTCGAGTCTGCTCGAAAACGGATCTGCAGGCGCCGCGAACATCAAGCGAGGGAGGAAACGGTTAAAGGGAGACCTACATGTAACTAACGTGGTACAGAACAGCTCCGGAGGACAGGGCTTCCCTCCTCCCTGCTTGCTCTGGGGAGACTCTGGGGGGCAATGCCAGGGTGGAAAAGGGGCCTGAGGCCCGTTCCTAAAAGAGAGGAGTAGCCGATGGTACCCCGTATTAACAAAAAAACAGCAAAACCAACTGAAGAGCATCTTGCAGTTTGCAGAAAGATGCTCGCGCAGAGAACGGGCTGGGCAAAGGGTAGCGTGGGACAACTTATGCCCAGAACCGAAGCAAGAAGAGCGGGCGAGCTCAGGACACGCAACCAGGGCAAGTTGCCTTATAGAAGGACCCCTTTTCTATCCCTGATAAGCCCTGGGAGGGTTCCTAAGGGGCGGGAGGGGGAGGCAGCCGTGCGAATGCTGGTTGCTTTCCAGGGTCCAAGCCCCACCGCCCCCTCCCCTCCCGCGCCGGTCAGTGACGTCAGCACTCCCTGTTGTTGTTATCCCGCGGCCACGAGATCGGCGTGTTGCGCGCGCCGCGTTTTTCGGCCAAGCCGGCGGCCGCTACCACCGCCGCCGTGCTCGACGTTGCTCCAATCCCCCCCCCGCAAGGGTGATATCTCTCCCCCCCCTTTTCGCAGACCCCTCCCCATCTCCTAAAGTCATGCAAACAAGGAGGGGGAAGGAAGACCGCACAACAAAAGCTGGGCGAGAGAGAGAGAGAGAGAGGCACCCCCACCCCTTACGCGCCAATGCTCGCCTCCCGGCGCTGGTGGAAGGTTTGCCGAGCGAAAGAAAGGAAGGCGCAACACGCCGTCTCCACCTCCTCCTCTCCTCAAGGGCTGGGGCGGGAAGAGAAAAGCAGATTTGCAGCGGGATCGGTGCGATGGGACAATAAGACAACACTTCCATAACAAGGGGAAAAGGGTCTGGCACCAAAGTTGCAGCCCGGGGCTGGAAAACACCCCCTTTGCTCAGCGCTCCCCATGCACGCGCACTTCCCCTCCCGCGCTCCTTTCTTTAGCAATCGGGATCATCTCCTTCCTAAGGGAGGAAATACCAAAATAGTGAAAAGCCAGGCACGGTCCAGGATGGCATAAATGTAAACGAATCTGCACCGCCCGCCCCCCCCTCCCGCCAACCCTTCCCGACCCCCCACATTAGAGCTTCGGTTTTTTTTGTTTTTTAAAAAAGCCTGTCTGCAAAGCAGCCCGGAATAAAATTCCTTCGGGGAAGTTGGTTTGGAGCAGGGCCTTGCCAAACCCAGGGCGACACCCTCATCCGCTTGTTTACATTTGCAACTTCTCCGCTAATGTGCTTTTGCTTCCCTACCCTCCAGCCTCCAAGAAACCCGGACCGACTCGGGCGAAAGTTGAAAGATTCCCCAGGGAGGAGAGTCAGTCGCCTTCCTCCTCCTCCTCCTCCCTCCAGCGCCGGTCAGCAGCGTTTGCAAACTGGTTTGAAAAGAGCGCTCTGATCCGTTCAGCCGCCGAGTAGCTGCCGCCAATAAAGGCGGAGGATCGTAAGATCTGGCTGAAAAGAAACGCTTTTCAAACCACGCAAAACTGTCCTACGGCGCCGAGAAGGAACCGGCGGTGCGTCTCACGCCCGCGGGATTTCGGATAGCCGTTTCACACCGGGCGTTATCTCGAAAAAAGGATGCAGGCGAGGAAGAGATGGAGGAACCACGCGCATAAAGGAATCCCCAGGGAACTTGTAAAGGGAGAAAAAGCGAGAAGGGGGACGCGGAGGCTCTTTGCAAGGTCCCCCTTCCGCGCGAAGCATCGCCTGGCGAGAGCCGGGAGCAAAGCCCCGAGGCCTTGCGCGCCCTGCCCCTGTGCTGGAGGGGGGAAAAATGAGATTATCTTTCGCCAGGGCGGAAAGCCGAAGCACGCGAGGCGAAGGGGAAAGGCGAGCGATCCTCTCCTCTCCGCCCCGGCTCAGCTTTGTTTCCCCAGCGTTATGCTTTACGGGAAGCAGCGTTGCGCTCCTAGAAGCGCACCGGCCTTTCGGGTCCTTTCCAACGGGACGCCGCTCCCCTCCCGTGTTTCAATTCGCGAGCAAAACACGCGGCAACGAGAGGGAAGCAGAAGCGAGAAGCCACGATTGCCCCCAGTGGCTCCCGCAGCGTGAAAGTGCGCTTGTTTTTGTTCTCCCCCCCCCCCTCCAGTTAACCAACCTCACCCCCATTAACGGGGTATTTCCCCGATTTGGCTGCCTGCACATTGGGTTTGATGCTACTGGGTCTCTTCTGGGAACCACCATTATTATTCTTGCGAATGATAGGATTATTATAAGACCCAGATCACACACACCCCCTTTTTCTTCATTAAAAAGGGGGAGTTGCCCTCCGGAAACTTTTCGCGATACTTACGTGTGCAAATGCTTCCCCAAAGGAAGGCGAAAGTTAGCCACGAAACCTTCATTGTCCCTTTTCTCTCCCCGTCTCTCCCGTCTCTTGCCTGCTGGTGGTGCGAGGAAGGGTCGGCGGGTCAGATGAACCGGCGGCTGGGAGGGAGGGAGGCAGACTTCAAAAAATTGGCTCCGTCCTTTTCAGGAACAATGAAAGGGGAGGATTAAAATCCTTCCCGGCTCTCGGTAAGCAAAGTCCCGCAACAGGAGAGCCAAGAAGACACGCCGGGGCGGCTTTAAATCCTCAAGACAGGTGGCTCGCGGGCTGCCCGGTTCCCGGCGCAGGGCTGCCGCTCCAGTTCACAGAAGATGCGTTTGGTCCGAAGAGGATCGCAGAGTCGCTTCTCCGGACCTGCTGGGTGCCGCTGGCGGAGAGGCCGACAAGCCTTCCACGAGCCGCCCCTTCCCCAAAGCGTCCCTCTCCTTCTTGGTCTTCTTATTCAGCAGCCGCGGCGGCGGCGGCAGCAGGAGGGGGTGGGCAGAGGAAAAGCCGCGGCGGAGGAGGAGGCGCGGCGTAGCCCCCTCACCCGAATTATCCGTCCCCTCCCCCAATTAAATTAAACCTCCCTCGCTCGCGCGCGTCTAAGTCCACAGAGCCAGAGGCGGCCACAGCCAGCAGAACAAACTTTGCCTGGGGGCGTCCGGGGGGGGGGTGTCCAGAGCAGGCACCCCTCAGGCAACGGCGGCTGCAGACATCGTTATCAAAACAGAACGCGAGTCGCTCCTGCGGCTTCGGCCACGTCCTCCTCCTCTTTCTTCACAGCCGCCGTCTGTGCTGTTCGGGCCGGGAGAAGAGGTGGCGAAGGCGCTGCTGCAGGGGACCGACGGAGCGCGGTAGCCAGTCCCGCTGTCGGGCATCGCTCGCCGGCTCAGCCACTCGGGGAACGGACGAGCAGCGTGCCTGCCGCTCCGAGCAGGAGGCGAGACTGAAGCTGCAGTTGCCATGAACAGGCAGGCAAAAGCAGGCAGGCGCGCTCACGAGCCCGCCCCGCGCGCTTTCGGGCCCGCCCCTTTCCCCCCGGTTCAGGGGGGGGGGTGAAACGGAGGACGAGGTGTGGTGTTTGGAGAAGAGAAAGAAGCCCGGATGTTCGATGCAAAAGAGGGGGGCAGAGCAGGGAGGCGGGACCAGAGGGAGGATGCTCGGCAAACGACTGGGGCGGGCAGCTGCTCGTCAGGGTGCCCGCGAGGGCAGGGCTAGCCACGGAGGAGAGGCGGACGGCAGGTAACGCGCTCGGGCGCGCGCCTTGGCATCCGGGAGTTTGGCGGGTGCCAGCCCGCCTTCACCCCCTGGAGGCTCGAGCCGCGGAGAAGAGCTGTGTCGCTGGCCTCTCTACGGAGCCTGCACGTGTGGATGCGCACACACGTGTCCCTAGTTGGAGGGCAGCCGCCGTCTGAGCCCAAGTAACGCAAGGCGGTCCTCTGCCTTTCTGCCCGGAAGGAAGTCCTGCGAAGTGTAGGGGGATTTCTTCCCCCGTGAAGAACTAGAGAACTTCCGATTGAGACCCCCTTTGGCCCTCGAGTGCCTCCCGGACTATCATATCCGTAACGCCAGAGGGAGCGACCCCCACATTGGAAGGAGAATGCGGGCTAAGGGTTTCTTGGGCCGCCAACCCAGTCTAGGAGAACTTGGCTAGCGAGCCAGGATTGTGTGAAACCTGTATAAATAAATCCTCAGAGGACTTATTAATATGAGCCACATGACCTAAACAATGTGCAGTCTTGCGAGCGATCCTGAATTCGAAAGCCTTCAACTATCTGCTCTGGATTCTGGAGAGCCGCAAAGTGTTCCCACTTTTTGATTTCAACTAATAAAGGCAATAGATGGCAAACTGGGCACAAACTAAGCAGAGGCAGACTTGTTTAATTCTTGGATAGGAGACCACAAGGAAATCCCAGATGCCAAAGTTGCAAGAAATAAAGATCCACAAAGATGACAATAGCCATAATGTTGCAAAGAAACCTGCCTGGATGTACCAGTTTAATTGCCAAGCTCAGCTTGGAGAAGACTTGACCATCTCATAGTGTCATTATCTCTGTTCCCAATAGTAATAATTAATAGTAATAATAATAATTAAGGGAGATAGTCCCAGAAAGCTCCATACTGGATCAGTGCTATAGAACCTTTGCTTTCCTCCTTTCCTTCTTGCTGTTTTCAGATTGAAATCCGAGTCTGATTGCAGATCCATCATTATGGTTCTGCTATTTTCATTTCATTTATTTACTTATAAAACTTATATGGCACCCATCCAGTGGTGGGATTCAGCCAGTTCGCACCAGTTTGGCAGAACCGGTAGCTAATTTTTGGTTGCCCAGGCCCAGAATGGACTTCCGGAAGCGGCATCCACACAGAGAACTGGCTGTTCACCTATTTGAATCCCACCACTGCACCCATCTCAATATCCAAAGGACTCTGCTATGTTCAAAGCCTTGCCTTCATTACTAGCTGCTAAAGGGGCAACAAAGAATAAGCAGCCTCTTGCAATAATATTAGAAGAGGGGAAAAAAGCAGATGGAAAACAAGCAAGGAAGCCCAAGAGATGAATCAGCTTCCCTCACCAGCAGACAAATTGGGCATATTTTGGTTTTCAAAGCTACAGGAAGAGGGGATCCCTGTTATTCTTTGCCCCTGGGTGTTCTTGGGATGACCTGATACCAGATGTTGCAGACCTGATGGGTGAAACCCCTGGTCTAAATTTGGATGTTCTGCTGTCTTCCTGAATTTGTGTCATCCCCTGCAGGAAAGATTTCTGCAACATTGTATCCTATAAAGAGTTTTCTAAAGAGTGGCTGGTTTGTTTGTTTTTTTAAAACCAGTATTAGGTTGTTCTCTCCCAGATAGATACAGTATCCCATTCTGAAGTCTAATCTTTACTAGATAGGTCAATACGGCATCTTAACACTCATTTGTACATAGCAGTTTATTGTAAGGAAATATTCCAGCCAGTATGGCTAAACAGTGAAAGATGCTAACGAGATGAAGTTAAGCAATATCTGAAGGTTGCACATGGCTTACCCATCTGTTAGGGGAAGGTTGTGGAAAATATTTGGGCTATCTCTTATCTATAGCATATAGATATTCTTATCTGGAAGAATGTGTCCAAAATTCTCAAGGGCTTTTGAAGATACCTGAAAAAAATACATATCCAGAGACTATCTTTTTCTTTTTCTTTCTTTCTTTCTTTCTTTCTTTCTTTCTTTCTTTCTTTCTTTCTTTCTTTCTTTCTTTCTTTCTTTCTTTCTTTCTTTCTTCCTTCCTTCCTTCCTTCCTTCCTTTTTCTTTCTTTCTTCCTTCCTTTCCTTCCTTCCTTCCTCTCCCTTTCTTTCTTTCTTTCTTTCTTTCTTTCTTTCTTTCTTTCTATCTTCCTTCCTTTCCTTCCTTCCTCTCCCTCTTTCCTTCCTTCCTTCCTTCCTTCCTTCCTTCCTTCCTTCCTTCCTTCCTTCCTTCCTTTTTTTTGAATAAACAACTCAAGATGATAAGCATACCTCATATTCCTTCTATTTTCCTTTCAACAACCTTGTGGGATAGGATGGGCTGAGAGAGAGAGTGACTTGCTCAAAGTCACCCAACTGGCTTTCATGGCTAAGGTGAGACTTGAATTCATGCTTTCCAAGTTTCTAGCCTGGTGCCTTAACCACTAGAGGCCAAACTGATGGAAAATATAAGTGGAATTGTAAATGAGGAAGAGCTAGACAGACCTTTACTCCACATGTGTAATCAAGTCTCATCTGCTACATCTATGATCCCAGGGAAATGTTTAGAAGTGTCTCACACCTACTTGATAAATACTTTTGATTGTAGCTAGGCAATTCCCTTAACAAGTTCTGGTGAAGAGATTGTTTTGCTCTCACTTCTTACAACAAGTTTGTGGCCAGGTTAAACTAAAAAATGTGTGTATGTGATTTTCTCTTTGAATGCAGCATCTCAGGCTCTCCCGTGGAAAAAAAAAACACTGCAGTCTTGAGTTCCAGTCTTACAAGTACATTCCTAGTCAAGAGGGGAAAGTGGTCCTTCTGCAGATGATAGAAATTCCAAGACCCATTCAGTCACTACTATGGGCTCACTCTTAGCCCAACTCACCTCACAAGGTTGTTGTTATGGGGAAAACAAGAGAACGAATGAGAATTAGATATCTTTGCTACCTTGAATCATTTATAAAAATAAACTGATGAACTGATTGGGTGGGAGCTTGGCTGTGTTCTGATTGGGTGGAGGTGTGTTCTGATTGGTTAGGGGCTTGGCTGTGCTCTGATTGGATGGGGGGTTGGCTGTGCTCTGGATGGGGGAGTGTTCTATTGGGTGGGGGCTTTGTTGTGCTAAGGTTAGTCTGAGTTGCAGGGGGGTTTGAGATGGTGAGCTGTGCAGCTGTTCTTTGGCTTCGCGTTCGTGGTCATGCCTCATCTTCATGGTGGGTGTCAGTTTGCTTCATGTATAGATTGGAGCTGTTTAAAGTGGCTAATGATGCAGCTGTGGTCTGGCTTCTGGTTTGTGGTCGTGCCTCATCATCGGTTTGGGTTTGCTTTTTGCATGGATGAGTGGTGGTGACATCCTATGTGGTTTTCGTGAGTGTGGGTCTGGTGTCATTCTTTGTGTTAGGGACTCATTTGTCAATAAGGGCGGGTTTCCAGATGGCTGGTAGGCGGGAGGTATTATCTAAGACTAACCTGAGCACAACAAAGCCCCCACCCAAACAGAACACTCCCCCAACCAATCAGAGCACAACCAAGCCCCTAACCAATCAGAACACACCTCCACCCAATCAGAACACAGCCAAGCTCCCATCCAATTAGTTCATACCCCCACTGGCAGTTAAAAGAAAGAAACAGCTACGATCACACATTGCTCCTAGAAGCACAAAGCCGAAAACATCAGCCTGAAGATGACGAATGGGACTTCATTGAAATGTCGCCAAGACACTTCCTATTTTACGTGGGAGAAAACCCGAACAACCAAAGACCTACATACAAATACCGGCGAAAACCTCAGAATATATATATATATATACACATACATACACATATACATATACATATGTATATATAACATTTATTTATTTTTATTTGAGGAAAGAAAGAAAGAAAGAAAGAAAGAAAGAAAGAAAGAAAGAGAAAGAAAGAAAAGAAAGGGCTAATTAAGTTCTGTTTAAAAGATTTTTCTTAATGAGATCCTGCAGTGATTATCCATGGAGAACAAATGTTTACTTAGGAGAAGAAAGAAAGCACTCATCAAGGATTATAAAAAGTTATTAACCCATTTCCTAAAGGGTGGGGATTTTCTAAGGGAGGCAGAAGGACCCCACACACCTGTATCTATGCAACATGTGACGAGGTCAGAAAGCAAAGTGGATTTGAGAAAGGGAGTTGACACCTTTCTCTGAAGGAGATGGGAGAAGGTAGAAAGTTAAAAATATGCGAAGCAATTATTATTAATAGATTTTTATCCCACCTTATGTATATATAATTCAAGACAGCCACCATGTCTAATACTCCTGCTTCCTATTTCCCCCAAACAGTTGGGATGATAGAGAGATTGGCTCAAAATCCCCCAGCTGGCTTTCATGCATAAGATGGGACTAGAACTCACCATCTCCTGGGGATTGATCAAAAGTCACACAGACAGCTTTCACATCAAAGGTAGGACTAGAACTCACAGTCTTCTGGTGATCAGTCCAGTCACCTAGGTAGTTTCTTAAGGAAGGACTAGAGCTCACGAACTCCTGGTTTCTAGGCCAGCACCTTCAGTACTACATGAAGCTAGCTCTCAATGTCCCCTGTTAAATATCTCCAGGCTAGCAAAAAATATAACCAAGCCCTGCTGAGTAATTGAAATGTTTGTGCTATACCCATTTATCAGTAGACATTTTCTTGGAAAAACAAAGTTGAACTTTCTTTGCCTTGCTTGGCTTGTTCTCGGGAACCTTAAACAAAGCCACAAAACATTTGCGAGAGCATGGTTTTTGGAAAGATTTGAGTTGAATCTGAAGAGAGAGACAC